TTATAGTTTATAAACAAATGCATACTCGTCACTCTAAATAGGTGATTTAATCACCAAATGTTCTCTTGACTTAAAAACCGAATGGAACTTAAAACGTTCTTAGCCGTTGTTAAAAGCATCCATTTACAACCAAGATACCAGTTAATAACAAATTGAACGAAGGACATAGCCCTATGAAACTCTCTCTTGAAGGAATTCAAGGTCGCTAATTTTCTGGTTTTGTTTTCAATTTGCTTTTATTTTTGGCTGCTTACGAAGGCTTTTCGGATCAGCTACACGAGCTGTGTCGCTAAGACACCTACAGCTGGGTCACCAGCTACTGCAGGTATGCTTCGAGTGAGACTCGTTTACATCCACATGGCTATTCAATCTACATACATGTGATTTGACGCCTAGCAACCGCCTTTTCCCTTTTAAATCAGTTTCTATCTCGTTAAGATTTAGTTTTAGCGGGAAGATTGAGATAATTATTCGCCAACAACTCAGCGATCAAATGGAAAGAATTGTGTTGGAGGATTTCAATCAAAACTCTGGTAGTGTCACGTTGGTTGAGAAAAATAAATTGAAACTACTGACTAGACGAACCAATTCAAGAAAACATTTGCCAAAACAGGTCGTTTTTGAATCTCAAAATCTCGAGATAAAGTAAGCGATGATCTAAAATATACGGTTTAAAATCCAGCGTTCAACTGTTGGGACCTTTTAAAAGAATATATCAACTATCTTTTGAATGCCTTTTTCGAGTGTACATATAAAGATTCAGATTCGTGGATTTGCAACTCAAGGTTGAGAACCCGTCCACAAATACGCGCTTGTCATAAACTATTTCTTTAGAATTCAAGTACAATAGTGTTTAATTAAGATGTTGTTGAAACGCCAGGGAACGAAATGATTCTCAAATTAAAAGAAATCTTAATATGATTTAATTTTAAAAATAATTTTCTTCATTCGGGTTGAAATTTAACTATTTTTTCCCTTTTTTATTTCTGGCGGCTTACAGATCTTAAGATTTCAAACCCCATATAATGAAAATAGGCGTTTCCCATTTTCCTTTGACGTGTTTTGAGGACAGATTTTGGTTTTTGTTTATTGTAAATGTTATCAGAAGTTGTTACTTCAGATATATTCAGATATATCTCCTATTTGCTGATATGTAGAAGAGTAGAAATGATTAGAAATGGAAAAAAGATTGACTCACGAGGAAGCGCAATAGTACTAAGAGAGACATACAACTTTGTTCAATTTAACAACAAACTGATCCAATGGGTCTTAGGTCATATACTCATTAAAAAAACGCATCTATCCGCGGGAAAACGATAAGAAGGCGTTTTTCGTATTTACTGATAAAATCTAATGAAGCTTCCCTTTTCACGGTTTAATAATACCTTTAGCTTGCTTTTTTAATTCATTGTCAAGCTTTGTATTCGTCTTTGAAAACCATTAAACCTTTCACGTGCACTATGTCTATCCCCAAAACCTTTGAGAATTAAAGTTTGTTACTGGCCGAACAAAGCAGGATTCCGGCAACGTTTGGAGAAAAATTTCAATAAAAAACTTGATGGAGATAAGAACTATGTTTAATTTACTTGTGATTATCTTGAATGCTATCAAAAAGTGGACATATATCACCTCGAATTCACACAATACCAGGTATTTTGACGTTTTCGTCAGGTATTGCGTAAAAAATCTAACGAGAAAAATGCTCTATTGTCAATCGCATGGAAAAGCACCAACAACTGCGAATTTAAGAAACAAAGAAATTATCTTATTCGCGGCTTATTGAATTTGAGGGATCCATTGAGGCTGTTTTCGATTTCAAACAACTTAAAAAACTTTGCCATGTTTATCTCCTCCACAAAGTGAAATCCATTTCCATTTTACAGCTTGTAGTCTGTACCAGTTCGTTGTTAAAACAAAGCACCTGCTATACCTTCTTGCGGAGCAAAACAGCACCAGTTCAGGAAATTTTTGTTCATGGGGTTCCATTATTGTTTCACCAAACCAAAATAGAAAATGCGATTTTAAAACAATTCCATTTCCAAGAAAATTTGCGCTCGAAGCGACTGGCTGTAACTACTTCAGAAAATACCATTGAGTTTCTTCACTAGATCTTAGGATATTTTATTGGATTGAACGCTTTTTTTCATCGTGAAACTTATTTCAATATTGCTACGCAAGAATAATTTGCTTCGGTTGGCTAAAATCGTGTGTTCTGTCTTCTTTTTGATCGAAAGCTCTTACTTCTTTGCTAATCACGTTTTTATCTCATTGGCTGCGGCTTCAGGGTAAATAAAAACCTTCTTTTTTGGAAGTAATTATAGAACCACAGGGGATATAGAAATAGGAGGAAAAAACTGTGATAAGATGAATGACATCCAAGCCCGCTTCACGTAATAAATGATAATTAGATTGATGGCATTTAGAATTGCTGAAAACAACGCTTACTTGGTTACGCTTTGGCCTGCCCTTCTCTGCTCGCGTTATTTTCGTTAAATCAAAATATTTGATATTCCCTACCTTTGATGCTTGTTTTAAATATTTTGCGACTGAGTTGATGCTTTGCGGATGGCTGCGGAAAGCCCGTAGAACACACATTTAAAAAAAAAATTACTTCGGAACGTTGTCGTCTCTTAAATTTCCTGAACGCTTTTCGTAATCTATAGTTTTTTCAACGTATTTGTTCTTCACCGTTTCCGTGGAAGCTGCGTAAAGATGTGTTAACCTTGATAGCGCTGGTATGCATACATGAATATCGCTGCGCCTCGAAAACTGTTCAGTTATGTACGGTCATGTACACACTGGCAAGACCGTCTATTTTTAATGGAATACTTGATAGAGTTTTACATAATAAAAGTAGAAAACATTAATTTTTACTGTGAGACGCGTTTGCTTCTGTTGACGTAGAGGCTTTCTCACAAAACAGCAACGGGAAAATTTCACAGCGTTTCAGACAGGATTATTTCCAGAAGTTGCGCTATCAAATTTGCTAAAATGGCGGAAAATATAACAGGTGAAGCCAGTTCCTTTCATCACAAGCGGTGTCCTCGGATAATGGACTCACTCAAGGATCGGGGATAGGTGTGTGCTTTTTCTGTTTTTTTGGAGGGGACTATTTTACAGTATTGAATACGATTCCTTTGGGCCTTGTTTGGGTTCGCGTTTCGCCGCTTAGATCTTAAAAATAAACTCAAATGTAAGCAATTAGCATTTTATCAACAGTGTGTTGAAAAGTTGGGAAATTTGCATCGGCAATCATTTTCTCGCTGGGAGATTATTCCAAAATCTTAATGGAAAACTATGCAAACTCTCGTCTCTAGCATACCTTAAGAAAAGCCTTTAAAAGAAAAGTATAAGGATTGATGATTTTGGAAGGTATACAAAACGAATAAACCGTGTATTTCTTGGACAAAGGACAGCTGGGCCTGACATCTGGTAAACATGGCTTCATTTGTTATCGTCTTTATTATATCAGACCAATATGGGTATTAGAATCACAACGATTTCTATTGTATGTATAATTCGCGTCAGATAAGCTTCGACGACGGGAAGTTTGCGATTACCACTGTACTATCGAGTCAAAACTACGCGTAGTTTTTTTTCAGCGAAACACGAGACACTTTTCTTAATAAGGAGCATTCCAGATATGTATTCATTTCACCGAAGCAATCGAGAATCTAAAAAAAAGTATCCAAAATATAGTAAAAAAATCGTAATCATGAAAGGATAATCGCCAGAGATTTAAACTCTTGTATATTAGTAAAATTTTCAATAAGCAAATCTAGAGTGCTTTTAGTCGAAAATATGGGTTGGATTTAGAAAAAGTGCGGTTTTGCCTTACAGGCAAAGACAGCTAAAATATTTTATATCACCATACCAGGTTCAATTATATTCATTTCCTTTTTAGCGAGCGGGACTATTAAGCTAGGGGCGGAGTGCGAACAACCTGTCGTATTCAATTCTTCGTTATATAGTTGCAATGTTTTGAAGTTCCTTGGCGAATAAAAGTAGCCGCCGTGTACCAATGACGCTTCGCATGTGAGCACAAAAATTCCACCTCACGCCGTGTAATCAGCGTACGAAAATAGATAAAGGCCAAGTCGAGCTTTGCCTGATTGTAATGAGCGAGTTGACGCACAGAACGAAAAAAGTAATGATTGCGCATTGACTTAAGTTCGAATTTAAAGCTTTGACAACAATACGTCCAATTCGGCCGTCTCTTAGTTTCACTTTCGTGCAGTTTACCATCATTAGCTCGGCGAGTTTGTTTTCCCAAAATTAATTCTTAACCAATGAAAAGTGATAACTGTCGTAATTATCTCCCTTCCAGCAGTACTCATTAATATAGAGCTTAGTTCATTCATCAAGCTAATTCTACGCGTACAGAAAGGTTTGGTTTTAGCGGCCAATGGCGCTAGAGAGATGGCCGGCCCCTTACACGTGCATGGCGTGTGCCAAACAATAACCCTATTACACTTGAATTGGAAATTGCACAGGATTCGAGCTCATTGGTTCTTTTCTTTATTGAGGGGAGACTGTAAGTGCGTTAATGAATTTTAATAAAGGGATTAATTGTCTCAAGCCGATTTGTTGGTAACAAAAATGTTACACTTGAACACACAATTCCACGCATGGTTACCGCTTGGAAAAAAATCGCGTCAAGATTATTGGTACGAAACATAGCTTCGAAATACGATATAAAGTTATGCATCTGTAATTTCCATCAGCTCTACTGACAGTTTTCACCGGTGCTAATCTTGTCGGTCAATGAAAAGATACCCGTAACTGGTGATTGCCGAAATTTTTGTTATCAATTTCCCCCCGCAGATGTTTCATGAATGAGTTATTTTTTCCCAACGAACCGGGTCAGCCGATAGCTGGAACTTGCGACCGTGTCAACTAGGACAGGTTCAGCTGTCGTTGGGCGCATGCGCAGTATTAATTTTTAAACTGCGCGTGCGCATCTGTTTGGAAACAGGTGCATGTGAAGTGCAAATGTTGTTAACACAATGATAATGATTGTCTCTTTCTTTACGGGCACTCTCACTGCATTTAAGAACATTTTCACGCCATGCTAGAAGGCTTCAGTTCACTGTGAAACGTCTCCGAGATGAATCGCGACAGTTTACTAAATAAGACTCTTAGTCCTCCTCTGTCATCTCGAGTGCCTATTTCCCATTCTAATGGTATTTCTTACTCTAATTCTTCGCTTTCCGGAGGTCAGATGAATGAGCCAAGCTGGATACCCTCGATTCGTGGATCTACTCACTCGGTATTTATTCTAAAATTTTTATTTGATGCGTTTTGTAATGTTTGCGTTCGCGCGTCCTCCGCTTGGTCTCGAGTACTGGCGTTCGCTTTGGCGCTCGCCGGCAATTTTCGCAGTTGAAAACTTTTTCCCCATTCGAAAAAATTTAAATTGATAATTTTTCTTTCTTGTTATAGCTGTCTTTCCCGTCAAGATCTAACAACCTGGTATGTGATAAATAAAATAAATACAACTTGATCGAATTCATTTCCGTTAGTCAATATTACACTTGGGTGCTCAAACATCGTTTCTGCCTTCCTCTTTGCAGATTCCTCCAAGTGTGTTTGATGGGTTTGACGACTCTCACTTACTCACTGCCTCGCAGCTCGAACCGATGCCGAAATATCTCTCGACGAAGCAGAACAAACCGTCTGGATTTACGAGCTTGCACAGCTATCACTCCACGCACGGGCATGATACGAGCACGTATGATGCCCACGATATTCTGGATCAAATCTCGGCTTCGCTCCAACCAACAGTAAGTGAGTCAGCGTTTGATAAACCGTTCGAAACGCCGTCTCCAGTCACCGCCACGCCTGTCCACTCTTTACACTCCGCTATCCACTCTGCTATTAGCGTCGCGGCCAGTAGCGACGATGTAATGAATCCGCGAGAGCTAGAGTGGTTCGCAGAACGCTTTAAACAAAGAAGAATCAAGCTTGGAGTCACTCAAGCGGACGTGGGAGCTGCGTTAGCTCATTTGAAAATCCCCGGCGTAGGATCGTTAAGCCAGTCCACGATTTGTAGATTTGAGTCGCTTACACTAAGCCACAATAACATGATGGCTTTGAAACCCGTGTTGACGGCGTGGCTAGAAGAGGCTGAAAAAGCGTACAAATGCAAGAACACAACCAGCCAATTCCTTCCTAATTCGGATAAAAAGAGAAAGCGAACATCGATTGGAGCTGCGGAGAAGCGTTCGCTGGAGGCCTACTTCGCGATGAATCCAAGACCTTCAAGCGACAAGATAGCGTCGATTGCAGAAAAACTAGACCTTTCAAAAAATGTCGTGCGTGTTTGGTTCTGTAACCAGCGACAAAAGAAGAAAAGAATGAAATTCTCCGTTCATTGAAAGATGAAATAACTTGGAGTAAAACAAATTGAATTTCCTTCCGAAAATCCCGTCGGAATCGCTCCATGGATCGACTTTCGTACGCGTGGATGGCGATACGGAGTGGTCAACAGCAATTTTGGAGTAAATTACAAATGGTGAATCTTATTTCTATTATAGACTGAAAATTTCGAGTCAATGAACGAAGCAAGTCCTGAATTTATTAAGCCACTGAAGTTTAAATAAGAAAGCCCGCCGCTACCTAATGAACGGACGCGCTCGAAAATGAGCGACATAATCCCGTTGAAAAGCGATGCCTATGCGAACTGTTATGGAAGATGTTCTGTTATCCTCGAGAAACTTGTCGCGCACAGCTTAACAGCCCGCAGGTAAATAATATTCAGTGTATACCCTATTAGCCTAACAACTAAAGGAAGAAATTCCGAAGCACAAATCACTTCCGCCGAGTAGTAAAATTATTCATCGTACATTTTGCCACAATTTCATCGTAGTTGCTACTAGAGTTTCGATTTTAGGGCCGAGGATTGATGATAATAAGCCCCGAAATCATTTTTCCTTACACCTGTTTCATTTTGGCAAAATCAATTTCCCCATTTATGAAAAGTTGAATGTATTACTTGCAATTTATGTAAATTTGGAGGTTCTTTGTGAAGAAAAGCCGTTAAGACGTTATTAGTTTAGCACAGAATCGAAGGAACTACAGAAAATCGTTAAAATTAGACGAAAACAAATATGAAAACGTCCGTCGCTTCAAACGGTTTTTCTTCAAATAGAACCACCACACACACATCAATTACGCGGCCGGGCTTGGCTTTGTTCAACAGTGCAGTCCAATGAAAGCGATCCTTTTAATTGCTTACAAACACTTCAGTAAAGAACTTATACTGCTAGATAGCAATAATGGCATAGGCCGGGAAAGTATATGTATTTAAATATATATTTTGAAATTTTATACGTTGAGGAAACTTTTATGAATTAGTCTTTACGATGTATATTTATTGACGCTGTACAAATTTTACCGCTAGCACCATAATTTAAGTCATTTTCTGAAACTCTATTTCGTTTTTAATTCGCTGGTGCTGCGAAAATGTTGTGAAAGGTTAAGTTATCCAAAACACCGCATAAGAATGAAAACCAGTTTTCTCAATTTCCAGATTTGTAATGAATTGTGCTTAAATAGACGAGAAGTTTTAATAAACTGAAGCTCAAGTAAAACAGTCGAAAAAGCGTTTTCATTTGTTTTGCTATGCGTTGCGCGCCGGTTTCAGACCACCCGTATCCATAATTTCCTTGCGTGGTACATTGTGGCGAAACTCCATTGATTAACTCAGGCTTTCAGTCCTGCCTTACGGGTTGTTTGGTGAATTAATGGCGTTTTCAAAGACGAGCTAAGGATACGAGAAAAAAAGATTTATTTCACAGGAAGCGTTTTATTCTTTTTCAAAATTACATTTTTAAACATATTTTGTTGTGAGATAACATCAAAAACCCACAAAATGAAAAAGAAAATTAAACGCGTAGTAATTTTGGATATTCAAGTCATCAGCATGTGTAAAGCGCTGAAGAACGAGACAAGAGCGCCAGACCATTACGTAGTATCACAGAACTGAAAATGACGTGGTTCACATTGGAGAATATTAAACACGATATTTAGAGTTTTCTGGAGTAATTTTTTTACGCTATTTTAGGACAAACATCAAAAACCTTCATTGCGAGTAATCGAACGTGTGAGATTTTCTTTCACGACATACTAAGGGAATAGCTTGGTTTGAAAGTAATTATTTCGTCTTCAGCAGGTGTACGGATGAGAACTTGCAATATCCCGCTAAGATTTTTCATTTGGAGATTTCTCGTCTGTACTTAAATGATAAATTTACGAAGGAAGTTGTTTTAGAATTTTTTAACCGCAGTTTATGTAATCGAGGTTCAAATCGATTCTGGCGCCATTCCTTCTTGGAAATTTGAGTGTGTCGCTATTCAGCTGACAAACAAAACATGGCTGAATCCCTGTCGTTTAGTACAGGACCCAATGACATTCACACAATGGTCTCCGCCATACTCCCTAACACCTTATTCGATAAAAAATTTGTATTTTGAAGTCATGAATGGTTATTCCTTTTGACAAGAACTTTCTATCGCGCTTTAAATCGTCAGATTCACCGCATTGTTGGCAGTTTTACAAGTGTTTCTAGCACGTTGCTTCCTGTCGTGGTTTGAAGCGGTCGCACGTGCTTGTTTATAAATGATGCTACCCAAAGCTTTTTCCCTGAAAAAAGTAATTACTCTGAAACCATGCTTGTAGTGGCTAAGCATAAAAGAAAATGAAGCCCTCGGGCGAGAAAATGTTAAGGAACTTTTATAACCTGGATAGTTTTACGGAAACGAATCTCACGAAAAACGAATCATTTTCGACGCTAACAAAGCACGACACGAGATCATTTCATGAGACAAAGGCAAGTTCTGGGCAGCTGTTGTAGTATTACATGCAACCAACGTCTCCAAATAATACTCTACCTTGGAAACACTTAATTAGAACTCTTCCAATAAAACCTATTCCGTAACCTGAATAAACAAGAGGAGTCGTGTTTAGGTCTCGAAACGGAAATCTAAAATCACTATCAAAGATGACTTGGGAAATACGCAGGTATTTGGCTCCATATATCAATAAAGTTGAGGCTAACATTGTATATGAAAAAGGATTATGATTCGAAATAAAATTAATTTTTTAGGTCATCAGAGAATCGGAAATTTTTAAACAGTTGTAAGAACTTTCTTCCGAAATCGACGAAATTAAAGCTACTCGAAGTAATAAAAACAAAATTTCCAGTTTGACGTTCGGCAACAGCACTTCAGCTCAACACTTCGGTAAAAAATTTCTCCAATGAATGAGAACAAAACGAGAAGTGATGCCCATCCGTCAGATATGTGAACCTCAAACGTTTAAATAACGAGCTAGAAATTTGAAAAAATTAATGACATAATACAATCTTCTCTTATAAGGTAAAGTAGGTATCACGACAAGAACGATTGAGAGCCGTTTGCCTAAGGGCCACAATGGTCGCATATAACCTAAGTTAGCTAAATTAAGGAATTCCTCTAAGCATCACTTTGTTGGAGTAAGGAATATGATCCTATTTTTGTCAAGGTTTGTTTACTGTAACCTGCACCTAAAGTGCAGTGAAAGGAGACAAGTTTTACATGCCTTTACTGTGTTGTCTGCAATTTGACAGAGTAGAAAGGAAAGATTTCGCACTATTTTTGCACATAATTTATACGCCAGCAACAAAATTATGGATAAACTTAGCAAAATGGGCTTCACCTGATAACCAGGGGAGCTGCATGAAAGTATTTCGTAATAATGCTATACGGCTGAGAAAAATGATTGCATGCAATGCGGCTACAGGGAGGGTTTTTTATCTTGCGCGATCGTTTCGATCGTAGCCGACTGAGAGATGCCTTCGCCCGAATCGAGAATGGCCTTGTTTTGAGAGACGAAACAGTCAGCTGTGAGGGAGAAAGAACCACATAAGCGAAACATGAAACACCTGTCAGGTCGAGAATCATAACCACTCGCTGGGGGAGATATAGAAAGATAGATTTCCACGCGAACAAAAATTTCTCAGGTCTGATTCGTTCGATAACTGAGGGTAAGAAAAAGTTCTAGAAAGGAAATATAAAGGCGAAAAAATCAGAAGAATCTTGTGGCGGTAGATTTCGTCAATATAAAAAGTGTAATCGCTTGTCGTGGTCACTAAAGAATCGACTACCAAAACAAACCGAGTTTCTTTGATGAAAGAATAATTTTTGTCGTAACGTTTCACAATTCTTAGCTGGTATTTTGGTAAGGGAATAAAAGAAGGAGATTGCTTCACTTCCTACGGCTACTAACTTTAATAGAAGATTCTTTTCAATTGATTTTTCCAAAACAAACGGAATTCATGATTATGCGAGGTAGGAGGTAATGAAGAAATATAAACAAAGTAAAATCAGTAGAAGTATATGCGTGTAATAAAATTCTATGCTTACCCAGTTAAAATATTTAGAAATATTTCCCCATATCGTCAAATAAATTTTAAGATTTATAAAATGTTATTTCATGATTTCACACTCTCTTAGCTAGGTGAACTTTCAAATCCATTCTTCAGACGGCCATTTTGAATTTCTCCTTGGCCTTAAAAATTAAAAACAAACTTCAATCCCACTCCCGAAAGAGTGCTAGAAAGCTTATTTTTAAAATTTTTTCAGACGAACTGCAACTTGAATGATTTGGGAGGGGAAAACGGGCGGAAGAGAGGGAAATCTCCATATCTACGCTTACGTGCAGTAGCCTTTAAACCTTAAGGCGGTTACGTACCGTACTTGAGTTGACAAGAAATGCAACTAAAAACACGAAGATAAGAAATTTGTAGCAACGCTACAAGCAGATAAAATTAGCCACCAACTTAAATATTTCATGCTAACATTTGGAAGCTACAAAATTTTAATTATGTAGGAAAACGACTTTGAAGTAGTGGGATGATTGCTGAATGAACGCGTGTCGTTCAAAATGAAATTCCCTTAGTGAAGGTAAGAAATGTAATATTGCATCGATATTTGCATAAGTCTTCTTCGGATGCTTCAGAAATATATATTAAAGCAAGCATATTCCATTGTTAGAGTCACACAGAAATAAGAATCCATTTTACTACGGGCGTTTTTTCTCGTAAATTGAAAAGCTCATCGAGTGAGTGTCAGAGAGTGCAATAAAAATCAAGTAACCTGTACTCAATCATCTCGTCAACATGACATAATAAAGAGAGGAAGTTATACTTGTCTCAAGGACAAACAAACGAAAGTCTAAAATTAAAATTCTCTTGCAGAAGTTAACTAAATTTATGAAACATTTTATCCGGCGCTTTTATATTCTGTTCCCCTTTAAGGTTAACTTGTTGCGTCTTGCTGAACACAATTCTGTCGTTGTGAAATTAATTATTACAATTTTCAGTCTCGGTCTCTTCTGCTGGTTCTATTGACTGTTGAATGCTTAAAAGCTAGTAAACTTTAAACAAGTAAAGATCAGAATTATGAAATTTTAAAGTGTTCAAGGATTTTATTTATTGATGTAGAAAGGTAAGCCGCAAAGCGACAGAACAAAACAAGATGTTTTATCACTTGAGATTCGCTGGTGAAGACTCTTACGATGAAGGAATCTTGGAAATGATCAGGGCGATACCCGAATCTTTCAACTTTGTCTCACCTTCCTAATTCCAACATAAAATTTCGGCGCCGACGACTCCTAATTAGCTATACATGATCTGAGCTTTATTGCGATGAATTGTGAAGGGTTCCTCACTCAATCCAAGCGTCGATAACAGAAGAACTATGAGGATACCGAAAATATTCTTTACACGGCAACTCAGCTAGCAAAGTTCTCGAGAAGGTAAGAATTTCATGACGAAGAAGTTCATCTCAAAATTCCGAATTTTGCCTATATCCTGTAGTAAATATGCTTTAATAAGAAACTATTGTCAAAAAATAACGATAGCGTCTTGTTTCTGTCAGTGTGAAAAGAGTCGGTTGTTAATCGTTAGCATTTGTTAATCAGAAATTCTGCTCGCGTCAATTTCTAAACTAAACGTAAATTTTGCACAGAATGCCTGATAATGAAGTGAAAACACCTTGAAAGAAAAATGACATGGTAATGAAGTGCGCAATGCTGCAGTCTTCATTCGCATTTTAAGAAATTCTCTTTTAGATGGCAAACACAATATTCATCGAGGCCTTCTACCTATCCGATTTAAGTGGCAGATCGAGTCAATATGGTGTGTTTCACCAAATACGATCGGTAATAAATTCCGATTGTCCTAGTTTGCTAGCATGGATCGACCGAAAATATATCTTTCACTCAAGAGGATAAGATATCGAGGTTTTTTCTGTGAAAATTATTTCAATGTGGAGTATTAAAATTTGAATAAAAGGCTAGTTTAGAAAGGTATCGTGTACGTGCACCGATCAATATCGAAAAACAAAATGAAGAACGCAATGGCTGAGAAAACTGTTCAATCTAATGAAAAGTTCTTGAGGGAAAATAAGAGCATATCACCTGATGCTTTAGACCAGAAATAGTAAATATTCACCACCACCTGTCATGCTTTAGCCTGTTCTGAGAAAATTTGAATTATAACAGCGTATAGTACTGCCTCGAGCTTTAAACATGGAACAAGTAGAGCACGTAA